AAGCATTAAAAAAAAAACTTCTCACTGCTTGGAGGATTTCTGTGAGTGAAATTTCGAATTCAATTTTTTTATTATTTAAACTTACTATTTAAAGTATACTTTAACTAAATAATTTAATTATATTTATGACTTTTATAATTGCTTGTTAAGTGCGATACATTGGTTGCTTTTATTTTCATTTAAAGATGTTTTTCAAAAGTAATGAATAATGGTTAAGTAACCGTAAAATAATAATAATAACAGTAAACCAACCGTGAGAGGATAATAATGGTAGACAAACCGTAAAATAATAAGACATTGTAAACCAATCCTAAATTATCCAAACTGAAAACAAAGGAATTTGATCTGATTTACTAAAGATTTAACTGTTTTTGTTTTCGTTTTTTAATAATAATATAGCTTTTAGACTGAGAAAATCTTATTCAATGCTAAACCTCGATGTATGAAGCTACTTACATTAAAAATTTGTCGCAACTTCTACAGGATCATAAATTCAATCATGATTGTGCTCAATATGAACCACAGTAAAATATAATCAAGCTTAAGCTGTAAATTTAGCTGAAAACTAGCTTCTTTAGACATCATGTAAGCCAATCCCCAATGGTTTGGTGCGGTCCTTGTGTATAAAGAAAAGAACAACATTTAGGAGCATAGCAGCTGAAGTTCTTGAAACGGGTTTGAACCCTCCTCTCGAAAAGTTCTCCTTTTATTTATTGCTCATTTGTTCAGCAATTTTACACTATTGATAAACAGTTGTTACCGTACTTATCGTAATGATGTGCCTAGGTATCTATTCCACATCTATTATACATTAGGTATCTATTAAGAAATTGCAACGGCAGCAGCTGCTTTGAGAGTTCAACTTAACATTATTTTGCTTTGCTGTGAAAAAACTATGTAACTTAGAAACTTGAAATTACAAAGGTGGGAAAAAAGCAGTACAGAGAGTACTGCGAAATAAAAAAAAATTGTTATTTATATAATAATATATAATTATTATTTATATAATAGTTAATGAAATTAATTAACTGTGAAACTTGTAGGAAAACAGAATAACATGTTCGACCGATCTGTAATTTGTTGAAGTATACAACTTCGGACTTAAAATTCGTCAAGCTAAACGAGCCCTTTAATTTAAACTTTTACTTAAAAAAATTCAAAATGTTCGAAAGTTATTGCCAATTTATGTGATTTTTCGTAAATTTTTTCAGCTTTAATTTCCTTATATATAAACTAGTTTTCCATTGTTAAAGAAGACATATAATCGCACACCCGAGCAGATGATAAACAAAACTGGAAGTTTGAGAGAGATTACATGGTGCTGGATATAAATCTAAACATTTATAGTGTATAAAGTTTTGAAAAAACCTTAATTAGGAGCGATAAAAACCGTTTTCGATTGGAATTGCTATTCAACTGATGTGAACGAGCAAAATAACTTATTTATTTCTACGTTTTCTGTCACACAATGTCAATTCTTTAGGTTAAGCTTTTTTCATATGAAGTTCATATGATTATTCCAGGTAATCGCCTATTTCGTAACCGCTAACATATTGACAAATGAAATAGCAATATTTGTATAATTTGAAAACAAAATATTTTTCTTTTTTTAAAAAAAGATTGACGCTTAAAGAGAAAAAAATAATGAAGAATTCTAAGTAATTACGATATTTGTCGAGACGAGAAATCAGGGGCTGAGCCACCTAGTATGATGAAAAAAACAACCTAATTCTATTAATAGCATCAAAATATTCAATAATTAAAAATCCCTTGGGTAGTTTAACCATTCGTATGGTAACTACTAGATATGGTATCATAATGCTGCGTATAATAACATACATAACTAACACATGAATATACCAAAAAAAGGATAGATTCGACTTCAAAACTGTAAAAGAAAAATATATTAGAGAGTCACTCACGTCAGCTGCTCTCTGCGCTCACCAAGCCCTGAAAAGGCTAATGTAGTTTCTCATTTATCGCTCGTTCATTGATAATAAACTATTTTAATCTACATTGAGAAAAAATGGTAAACACTACCAGAATATGGCAAAATTTACCATGTTTCTGGCTATATGGAAACAATGAAAAGTTGTTTAGTAATGTTCTTTAGTACATTTGGTAAAATTCACAATATAGCATGGTTTTATAATGTGTGATAAAATTTGGTAAATGTGGTAAAATATGACAATTTTATCACAATACCTTGCAACATTGCATAAAAACCATTTATACTGCAAGATTTCTTTTTCAATTTTTTTTTTTTTTTTACTAATTGCGTGGTAATATGAACCGTAATTTTGAAAACCAGAATTTTCCCGTCAACTGGTACTATTTTAACAGAAAAATTACCAAATGAATGGCTTAAAGACAGGATATTATGGTTTCATTAACTGAAATTAAGGTTTATTTAAAGAGAAATGTCATTGTGTCACAGTACAATAATTTTACTAAAATTTTTTTTTCGTGTATGAAAGCTGGTACTCTTTTAAAATGAAGTTTTAAAAATATGCAGCTGTGAAACTTCGTCAAATATATTTCATTCAATTTATATAAAATACATTCAATCTAAGTACTATTTTGAAAGTACCTCTGAAACAATTAATTCATAAAATTTTCTTACCCAAAAATTTCTCACGTTTGGTGTTTGGAGAAACAATAGTTTTAAATTCATTTAAAAGAGTTGGAATAAGTAAAAACAAAGGTTATATGTTTCAGCGTATAAATAAAAGATTATATATAACATAAATTACATAATAGTGGTTAGTTTGAAATGTTTTTAATTTTCCTTAAAGTTACCCAAACTAATTACATAAACTTCAAATTTTGAGAGTTTCAAAGAATCAACATTGACCGAATATTAGAATATTATCCCCGAAAGATTCTCTAATCTCACCCTAGATAGACTAATTAACTCTCTTTAAAAGGTATTATAGGCTGATTTCCATTGTTTCTATTCTTAAGTTTTAGTAAAGATCTTCACTTTTTTTGAGCAAAACATCATATAATCTACAATCATTATATAATCATTAATTATAAGCCATTTTTAAATAAAACGCAGCTCTTAATTTATGCTTAAATTGCATAAACCGTTAAAAGTTATAGTATATACACAAATATGGAGGATTGACTAAATATAAACAATAACAATCTTCCTAAAAACCTGAAGAAATTTAAAAAATTTCCATCTCCAGTATCCCTCCGCTTTTGTTTACTAGGCGATGCGTGAACAGGCTTAATATTCTAGAAAGTTTTCTTATTCTAATTTTTGCTCAAATTTATTCGGCATTTTGCCGTTTATTAGAGTTTTACGTAACTAATAAATTCTAAAAGGTCATGAACCTAAAACAAATTTTAAAAAATTAATATCGCAACATAAATATATTATTCCTTATTTGGCTATATTTGTGTAATTTACCGCAGTTTGTTATTTTCGGGTACCACAATAGCATGTTTGCGGAGTCTTCCGAATTCATTTGTTATTTGTTTCGCTGAAAGTTAATTTGAATGAAAGTGTTATACATTAAACACTACAAATATTATAATATTGGATGGTGCGCTTTTTCAAGTTTAGGCATAAACATTAACAGGGTTGCCACAGCATAAAAGGAACAAAAATAGTTGCTTTTAGTAGCCTCAAGAAGGAAAATAGTTGCCTAAAACTACGAAAATAGTTGCCTGAACAGGGTCAAAAATTTATCAAAAATAGTAGCCAACTAGCTAAAATTATAGCTTATTTGTCATGTACTATGATTAGGACTGGGTGAAGTCAGAAATTTTAAATCGTGATACATCGCGATATAGCGATGTATCGCAATTTAGCATATGTTCAAAAATTACCTATGGCAAACGTTTAAATCAATCAAAAATAAATAAAAAGACATAGATCTATTACAAAAGAAAATACTAATTCTAAACATATTCCACTATGACATCAATATCATTGCTTAATATTTTCAATTAAAATAATAAAGAAGTCAAAGTAAAAGCAAACCCAAGTTTTATTTCATTATTCTTAAATTAAAAAGGATTTAAGACTTACTGCTTTAAAAATAATAATACTGTAACAAAATATTTTACGTAAATAAATTAAAAATTAAAAGAAAAAAACGAAAGTAGAAAACAAACCAAAGAAATATTCACTTTAGAAAAACAAAAATATTTTTTTAAAATTATTTGTTGAAAAAAAAATCATGCTTTTGAAACATCATTAGACCCTCTTTATTTAATTATTTAAAATAATAAAAAGTAGTATTGAGTAATGGTCAAATTCTGTACTTAATAAATGTAAAAATATTTTTTCGTTATTATTTTCTTTTTTGAAAATAAAATCGACTAAAGATTTATTTGTTTAAAAATGATACTGACTATATAAAAAATTATAAAACAAACAAGTATTGAAAGAATTTTAACAAAATTTAAAAAAAAAATACTTTAAGAACTAATGTTAAATTATTAAAAAGCGTCAAAACATTACTAAACTCTTTATTTAATTTTTAAAAAAATTATTTGTTTTAACCGCACTACGCACATGGTAGGCGGCAATAAGTACGTGTTAGTGAGGGGACTGACTAAGGCCGAAAATAGTAGCAAATAGTCGCATTTTAGTAGTCTGTGGCAACCCTGCGTTAATCGGAAGTAGTAACCGGGAAGTTTTACGACGAATTTTAACCCTTAGTGCCGTTATCTTAGCTCAATTTGCTTTTTTATTTAAACAGTTCGGTAAAAACTTCTCTTGTCTACAGGGTTTTCATGTATCCGGCTTATAAGTTAGTTAGTTTCAAATCTTAGTTGTTAGCAGATGAAAAGAAATTTCCAAGAGTTTGGGATAACAATCGTGTTATTGTTTTATGTTAATTTTTTATACGATTCCATGCGTTTTACGGTTTCAAAGTGTAGTTAAATGTTGTTCATCTGAAACTTTGAATTTATTTTTCCTCTAACGTAATTTTATGACGCATTAACAATACTGAAAAAATTTAACCTTCTTTTTGTTCCAGAAAAATAAAACATGAAGATCTTCGCTCTCTTGGCACTGTTCTGCTCTGTAATTGCTATGGTTATTGGAGCCCAAACTGCATGCCAGTTGCAAAGACAACAAGCACAGGCAAAGAGTAAGAATGGCTTTAACTTATAAAATATTAAAAGCATGAATTGATGTAAAAAACAAAATTTAAAAGTTTACACGTATCAGTTTTTAAATTAAGGCGCTTGTTTGAAAAAAATTATAAATTGTTCTTTTGGTGATTTCAGAATTTGAATCTATCAAAGGAGTACTCAAATGTATAGAGCTCTGCTGATATAAGAAACAAAATTGAACACATTTAAAAAATTAAAACGATAATAAAGAAGCAGAAGTAAAAAAAAAAGTATTCGGAAATTTACGCTTGTCATACACAACTAATTTCGATACAAAACATGCACAATTTAATGACGTATTAAACTTAGATAAACTGTTTTTAGTGGTGAGTAATTAGTGGAGAATAATTACAAATGTCTTCTCTCTTTCAATTTAACCATTCAAATACCATTTTTTATTATTGCTACTCTCTCCTACCAAATACTACTATTTGTCATTGTTATTTTTTTCTATCAAATATTATTTTTTTTCACAGTTTGACATTTCTATCGAATACTCATATTTGTCCTCTCCGTCTCTTCTACCAAAAACTATTATTTGTCATCATTCGTCTCCAGAACCAAATACTATCATTTGTCATCATTCGTCTCTTGAACCAAATATTATCAATTGTCATTGTTCATCTTTCAAAAAAAAATCTATTATTGGACATCACCAATTTCTTTTACCAAATTACTATTATTTAGTATTTGTCACTGTTTCTCTCTTCTACCAAATAATATTATCTGTGTTCATTAGTCTCCTCAACCATATACTATAATTTTTGTAATCCATTCCTCTCTTCAACCAAAAGCTATAATTTGTCATCGTCATTCTCTTCTATCATGTATTATTATTTATTGCCATGGTTAGATTCTTCTAACAAATTATTAGCTGTTCCCGTTAATCTCAACCAAAAACTATTATTTGTCGTCTACAATCTCTTCAACCAAATACTATTATTTGCCCTCAGTCTCTTCAACCAAAATCTATTATTTGACATCGTCAATCTCTTTTACCAAATACTGTTACTTACTATTTGTCATCGTTTCTGTCTTCTACCAAATAATATTATCTGTCTTCGTTAGTCTCTTCAAACATATACTATTTTTTGTGTAATCCGTTCTGCTCTTCAGCGAAATACTATTATTTGCCCTCAGTCTCTTCAACCAAAATCTATTATTTGACATCGTCAATCTCTTTTACCAAATACTGTTACTTACTATTTGTCATCGTTTCTGTCTTCTACCAAATAATATTATCTGTCTTCGTTAGTCTCTTCAAACATATACTATTTTTTGTGTAATCCGTTCTGCTCTTCAGCGAAATACTATTATTTGCCCTCAGTCTCTTCAACCAAAATCTATTATTTGACATCGTCAATCTCTTTTACCAAATACTGTTACTTACTATTTGTCATCGTTTCTGTCTTCTACCAAATAATATTATCTGTCTTCGTTAGTCTCTTCAAACATATACTATTTTTTGTGTAATCCGTTCTGCTCTTCAGCGAAATACTATTATTTGCCCTCAGTCTCTTCAACCAAAATCTATTATTTGACATCGTCAATCTCTTTTACCAAATACTGTTACTTACTATTTGTCATCGTTTCTGTCTTCTACCAAATAATATTATCTGTCTTCGTTAGTCTCTTCAAACATATACTATTTTTTGTGTAATCCGTTCTGCTCTTCAGCGAAATACTATTATTTGCCCTCAGTCTCTTCAACCAAAATCTATTATTTGACATCGTCAATCTCTTTTACCAAATACTGTTACTTACTATTTGTCATCGTTTCTGTCTTCTACCAAATAATATTATCTGTCTTCGTTAGTCTCTTCAAACATATACTATTTTTTGTGTAATCCGTTCTGCTCTTCAGCGAAATACTATTATTTGCCCTCAGTCTCTTCAACCAAAATCTATTATTTGACATCGTCAATCTCTTTTACCAAATACTGTTACTTACTATTTGTCATCGTTTCTGTCTTCTACCAAATAATATTATCTGTCTTCGTTAGTCTCTTCAAACATATACTATTTTTTGTGTAATCCGTTCTGCTCTTCAGCGAAATACTATTATTTGCCCTCAGTCTCTTCAACCAAAATCTATTATTTGACATCGTCAATCTCTTTTACCAAATACTGTTACTTACTATTTGTCATCGTTTCTGTCTTCTACCAAATAATATTATCTGTCTTCGTTAGTCTCTTCAAACATATACTATTTTTTGTGTAATCCGTTCTGCTCTTCAGCCAAATACTATTATTTGACATCTTTAATCTATTTTACAAAATACTATTATTTGTCATCGTTCGTTTTTCCTATCAGTTATTATTATTTGTCATGATTCGTCTTTTCAATCAAATTCTATTATTTATCATCATTAGTGTCTTCAAATACTTTAATTTGTTATCATTTGCTGTTACACGCTAATTTCACCTTTTTGTCTTATTTTAAAACTAAAAAAATGCATAACAAACCACAACTGAGTGAATGGTTCCTTAGTGTAGGATGAAATGTAGCATATTTCTGATTTTACTTACATTTATTTCAAAGCAAAGCTGAATATTTTACGTAAAATTAATAACATATGCTGTTACAGGCAGAACTCCTAATGAATTATTTTCCCTTCTCTCTTGCAGGTCATACAATACAAAATTTATAATCGATATTGATTTTTTTTTTAAATTTTGCTCTGAACTTATATTTCAAATGAGTTACTGTCTTCCTATAATTGCGTTAGAAATAATTGCCTAAATATTCTTTGAAAAGAGTATAAAATAAAGCCTTATTTTTTCAGATCTGAAAGGCAGCTTCGTTCCAAAATGTGATTCAGATGGTAGCTACAGCCAAGTACAGTGCCGCGGATCAACTGGATTCTGCTGGTGTGCTGATAAAGATGGAAAACAAATCACCAAATCTGTCCGAGGAAAACCAAAGTGTTAGAAATTGATAAAATAAACATTTACATTGCAGTAACAATTACAATAAATTTTGTAAGACTCTCAATTATGTGTTGATATTACGATAATTTTAAAGATAACTTAAGTTTAAAAAATAGGTTTAGGTAAGTACTTTATTTACGTCGCAATAGAGTTGCACAATGGGCTATTGACGACGGTCTGGGAAACATCCCTGAGGAAGATTCGAAGACATGCCATCGTAATTTTGATCCTCTGCATAGGGGATGGCACCCCTGCTTTGGCAGCCTGACAACCTGCGCGCGAAGTCTAACACTTTGCTGAGGAACAGTTTAACGAGGATCGATACCGCACACCCTCGGTTCCTACGTAGGCTGATCAAAGCGGTCATACACCCGCATACTGACAGTAACCATTGATGCTTGACTTCGGTGTTCTGCTGGAAACCGTGTCCGTACGATCAGTTCACTGCGGAATTCAAAAGATAGAGAAATTCTAAATAAATTTCAATGTAAAAATTTATAATAAATTAATTTGAATCTAGTTCGACTTATTTACTTAAAAAAATTAAGAATTGCTGATAAAGATCAACATTTAAATATATTTTTAGCTAGTTATCTTAAATATCTTTTTCTTCAAACTCTTTCATGACTGAAAAATATTTTTTCCTGTTAAAAACTCCATTCAAATTGCAGAAGTATGATGATTAAACATATAGTTTATGATGTGTTATGCATGTTTAATTGATTTGTGTGAAATAAATCTTTTTCTAATTGCTGAAAATAAAATAAAAAATAATATTTTGCTTATTCCGCATTAAAAGAAATCAAACTAATTCGTCAAATATATTGACAAAAGCTAAATAGTTAGAAATTACAAAAAATAAGCATGTTTTAGCAATAAATATAATACATTTTAAAGCACGATTACCTAAGTGATAGCTTCTTTTTAAGTCATTACTTTTATTCAAATTTTCATAAATTATTATTATTAATAATATTCTAGATAAGATATTAATCATCTATATATATATATATTTCTCTTACACGGCGACAAAAAAACCTCATTACAACTCCCGAATGGCAAACGCTGGAAAATCGACCAATGATTGCCGCTAAAAATGTCACATGCTAAATCTAGCTAAGGTGGCTCAACATATAAACGGAAAAATGGAAACTGAAATAACCAGAGAGAGCATTCTCACTAAATGTGATCTCTTCCGAAATTCACCCTATCAGCTGCAGCAATCTCATACTATTAAGCTAGGCAGAAGTGAGTTGTGTCGATAGATCTCTATTTTAGTACTTTGTCAAAAGTGCTTTTTTTTACGAATTTATACATTACAAATTTATTTGACGATTTTTAATTTACATCACGAATTTATTTGTTTGATTATTGTTATTAGTTATTCATTGAAACATGGTTCTCAGTCGTGCTGTTACGCTTTGAGATTTTATACTATAGCGCATTTCTAATAGGTTTAACGAATTACTTGTCATTTATTTGAATTCAAGTTTATTTTAATGACTTAGCATTTACTAAAAAGATGTAATTTTAAAAAAAAAAGGTTGTTATATGGATTTGAATGATTGTTTCGAATTCTTAGAATTTTGTGCATTTGCAATTTAGTAGCGAGCGAAGCGACCTCGGTTTGCGAAGCAAACCATATAAGACTGCGTAGCAATTTTCGGGGGTTGGCGAGCGTTAGCGATCAGGGGGCGCAGCCCACTATTATTTTATAATATGTAATAGTATATAAAAATTTATTAATAACATTTTTATGAACTTTTACTCTAATTTATACGATGCAGAAATAGTCACAAAAATGTATCAATTGTTTTAAAATTCAGTGATATATTAACAGATAAGTAGTGTTGAATGGTAGATTTTAGTTACTAAATAATTAGTTAGTAGTAGTCAAAAATTAGCTAGTAGTTAAAAAAGTCAATTTGCAGTTAGTAGCCAGTAGCCGGCAGATCCTAATATCTTATATCGTAGTAGCCATTTTTTCCTCGGACATAATGAGTCGGTGAACAATATCATTTTTATTTAATAGTCACTTTTTGCAAGCGTTTTTTGTTTTTTGTTTTTTTTGTTTGGATAAAACTATATTATAAATAATCTAAATTATACCAATCTAATAAAAAGTTCATTCAACGATAAAAATAACATAATTATATGAAAAAGTTTGTTAAACATACTGAATTTGAAGAACTGTTTTTAAAAAAATATTTGGGGAAGCAAAATGCATTTAAGGCTTTTTTTCGAAGGCTCGGTCGCAATTGAAATTATGCTTTTTATGTCAATAATATGCCATTTTTATAACTGCTGCGATTTTGCAATTGTTACTCACGACTGTTAGGTCAAGTTCAGCCAATCTAAAGAAAGCTTCCTCTACGATTATTTTGAAAATGGCGCAACAAGTCAATATGGAAAAAAGACTCAGTTTTGTGAGAATGAAAAGAGTTTGTGGTCTAATATTTCAATATTTAAAAACTTGCTGCAATGCTGCAGAGCTTGGGTTCATGAAAATGTGCAAAAACTGAAAATTAAGCAACGATTTTGATAAATTTCATTTGGTTGAAAAAATTTCTCCAAATTGGCAATTTTTTAAAAAAGTTTAATGACTTTTAAAATATTTAAGTTATTTGTCTGTTCTAATGCTCGAATAGTTCTTCAAGGCAAGATTATATATAGTTTAGAATCATCGCATTGTTTCAAGTGTCCACTTAAACTACGGCTTTTTTTATTTTCGGTATTGATAAACTTTTATCATTAAACAATATTTAGAAGAAAAAAACATGGAAAAAAGTGACCGGTTGTTTATTAAATCTAAGTCACTAATTATATTTTGACTCGACGAGTGGCGAGTGGTGAGTCGTAATTTTCACGTCTATTGTGTGTTATATGTTCAGTGTATGAATGAAATAATCTTTTGGTCACGATTTAAAATAGATTAAAGAGGTTTCTTAATGTTAATATAGCAAACCCAACCAACTTACAAATATAACTGAGGAAAACCAAACTGTTACAAGTAATGAAAATTGGATATTTTGTTTCAGTGATCAATATAATAAATTTTACTGAACAATTAATTGTGCTTTCCTTTTATATTGTATAACTTAAAATTATTCTAGTTTATTTGATACAAAAATATCCATTAAAAAGTAATTTTGAAATTGACATCGCAAAAGTAAGACGAATTGACCTATAATTACGTACTTAAACACATGATATATCTTGAAAAAATCAATAAAATAGACTTCAGGCAATTACTGAAAAAATTAGAGAACAATACAAAATTTTATTGTTTCCAATATAAACAATAAAATAATAGCAGTTTAACTGAATTGTCCTATAATTCTCAAATGAACATTCAGACATCAAACAACTCATCATAATTAGGTCATTACCATTATGTCTTTTTTCAAAACCATAATTAACATAACAGCAAGTGAACCAACCAGGAGGAGCACTTTCTAAGTTTATTAATGAAATAAAGATTTTACTATCATTTAAAGCGCAATTATTTTATCATTTCATTTGCTATATAAACATCGAAAAAATAATTTTTTGAATGAACTGAACCATTGAATAAAACATTAAAAAAAAAACTTCTCACGGCTTGGTGGATTCCTGTGAGTGAAATTTCGAATTCAATTATTTTATAATTTGAACTTACTATAAAGTATACTTTAACCAAATTAGTTAAAACTATATTCGACTTTTATAATTGATTTTTAAGTGCATTACATTGATTGCTTTAAATTTCATTTAAGGATATTTTTTAAAGGTTTTTAATTACTGAGAAATGGTTTCAAAATCTAGATGTTTTATTAAGTTGTAACATCCTGTATAAGTTTCTGATTTTGGTTCTGAAGTAAAATTTAATAAAAGCTTATATATAAGTGTTTTTTACCTTATGAAAAATATTACTTTTGTAATTTATATGAATTGCATGAATTATTTTGAATTGTATGAATTATAATACTTTAAGGAAAGGAATACCTTTGTTAGTTTTTCAGCTTATCTATAAATCAATTTTGAATGGAATTTCTGTTTTTTTTTTTTTTTTTAACCTTAGGAAAACAAATCAGCTAAAAAAGAACATATGGCACAAATAAAACGGTAGTTTACTTACCGTGGGTTTTATAATAGCTGCGATTAGCATATATATACAGAGTTATTCATAATTCCCACCGGGGTTTCGAAGCTTTATAGTTAAAAAACGAAGACGAATATGGCAAAAAAAGAACATATCCGAAAGTATTCAAGTTTTAATTTAAGCTGTTGCCAGTAGATGGCAGTAGCATGTTCCATTGAAGCCAGTTGTTATTTACTATAACGCTTCGAATACCCAGAGGGATTTATGAAAAACCCTGTATATTTAAAATCTTCAATAAAAAATATATTTTCCTATTAGTAAATAATATTTGAGCTAAGGAGAAAAATAAAAAGATATATGAATGTGCTGTATTACTAGTCGGAAAGGTCGGAATAGAGACATCCAAACCTGTTTGATTTTCGGAGGAATTAGGCAGGAGATTGATCTTTTCGGCCCACCGTTCTCGCTAGTGATTCGACACAGTTAAAGACCACTTTAAATTTTTTTTCTCTCTAAAATCTTAATTTTTTTCATATATGTAATTTTATTACTCAAGCACTTAGAAGGTTTTCAAGATTATATATTAATGTGGTCATTGAGGTACACTCTGCAATTTTTTCTTTCTTCCAAAAAAAATTCATACAAATAGTTTATCTATGAATGATGACTAATTCCTACGTCTGATGAACATCAAAACCTGTGTCATTGACTGATTCATAAAACCTGGAGATGTTTCTAATAACTACCCTTCAACTCCTCTCAGTTTCTCCGTCAATTAAACAAGCTTTTAAAATTTTCAGTTACGTCTTCCTACTTAGTGATTTGGTAGATTTCAATTCTTCTATTCTTATTCTATTTTCCTGGTTGAAGTAATTATTTGAAACCCCTAATGTGTATACTTTATTCTTGAAATGGATTCCAAAAACATAAGAGCAATCATTACACGTAGTGAAATGTTCTGGTATAAACGTACTGCATGGTAA